TCCAGAAGATCCCTAACTACCTCTGTGCTGACCCAAGGCCTATCAGAGCTATCCCTGAGATTGTCCCTACCTCTAGCAGGAAGGATGTCCCAGACCCTGTTCAAGAAAACAGGGGCAAAGAAACTTAAAAATATTGGCTCTCTCATCTAGCATAGCCACAAGGTTACCATTTGAGTCTTGCAGGGGCCCTACATTGCCTGGTACCCTCTTCTTGCTCCCAATGTACTTGAAAAAGGACTTTCTGCTGTCCTTAATCCTGGATGCTAGATCAAACGTTGTAAGCTGAAACTGATGTCAGAAAGTTGAAACAGGGTGTCAATTTAGAAATGTTGTAAGAGCGAAACGTTGCAACTCAAAAGGTTGCAAATCAAGGACTGCCTGTATTCATTTGTCAATGTAGGCTATCTTATAGAGTGAAAAGATTAAATACGTATCTTGCATGAAGGTAGATGCAGAAAAAAAATTTAGGATTAAAGTGAAGGAAAACTATTATCATCTTGTAAGATAAGGGAAGTTTTAGATGCCCAACCTAGTTCCCTTCAACAGTATTAATCAACAGCTGATTATCTTGTAACAAAAATTGTACCGAGAGGAGTAAAAGCAAACAGGATTTCTGTCTGGCATAGCAATGAATATATCTTGACAAGCATCTTACCCTGGCATTATGCCTAGCTCTAGATTGGAACATATTACATCAATCACTGATTTTAGCTTCCATACAGCAGCCAGCTCCTTTTCTGCCATGATAAGGCTGTGGGTATATCAAGTTCAGTCACAGTCCAGTAACCAATGCACAGTCATAGTTAAGAATAACAACTTGTTAAGGGAACAGCAAAACATCTAGGTGTTGCTCTCAGTGTTTGAACAAAACAACACTATCTCCTTAATATTTTCTTACCTGTGGCATACTAGTGCATAAAATTATTTAGGGGTCCTTTAAGTTGTTCAGAAACAGAATATTTTGTTAGTGGAAATGATATTCCAGCTTAACTGTCATTAAAAATACTATGTATTTTTATATTAAAATGCATCTTCCCTAATGTATAAAGAACAAGTACAGATTCAGCCAATACAAATGTGGTTCCTAAGACAATTAATTCATTTCATTTTGAGATGATCTTCAAATTCATATTATGTCTTCGTACTCATAATTGTTTTTTTGTTTTTTTAAACTATTACTATAAGTAATACCCAAGATTGCTGTAACTGAAACCAAAAAAGAAAGAAAACATTTTTATTTAACCTTTGTTAATACTTTGCTTACTATCTTACTGATACATATAAACCCCATTTAAACTTGTCTGTCCTGAATAAGGGAGCACTTTTTTAAACGCAGAACAACAATTTATGAACCATAGAGGAACACAGCTTTTAAAGAGCCAATACTGAGATCTGTCAATGAACAAATCAACAGAATTTTGCTACGAAGTACCTTGGCCAGGATTATCTTTTACATACCATTAAGAAAGTTAGTAAAATCACATTAGCCAAATAATTCACTGCACATAAAATTGATTCTTTTAACATTTTCTTATCGTTTATTTCCAGTGACAGCCAAACCAAAGCGTACCTGGAATTTCTCACCCCGGTTCATCTGAGTTGATCGAAATTCAGGAGAATCTATAAAGGCACAGGGGTAAATATTATGCAGGAAATGCCCTCGATAAGAGACCTTCATTCTGGTGACAAAAAATACATTACAAACACTATTTGAAAATCCTGTAGTTAAATTATTTAAACCAAAATTTGAATATGACTATTGATAATGCAGACCTGGGAGAAGTCATCACGACATCTATAGCTTGTGAAATGTTCACCAAGCACCTGATTTAGTCATTTGTCAAATAATATAAGTTTTGGCAAAATTCATATCGATTCCAATGGGAGCAGGATCGTATTCTAGTATATCCTGCAAACAGTGATGCTATTTGTAATAACATCAAAGTTGCTACTAATTTAAAATTGCCCGACATACTGATATAATCCCCAAAAGGTCTGTGTTCAAGGCTGGAGTTCTAGAAATGAAGACAACCCAGAAGGCAAATGTCCAACTACCAAAATACTACAACCATCAGAAGATTTCTAATTATTTTGGGTATGATCTACATCCCCTTTCTCTATCAGTAATATTGGGAGACAATTAGCTAATAGTGAATTCAACACCTAGGGAAAGAAAATAAATGATGGTATCACTGCTTATTACCAGGGATGGTGAGTTCAAACTCCAACAGAG